GGGATAGATGGGATATTGGGGAGAAATTCTTCCCTGTGAGGGTGGGGAGGCCCTGTGCCAGGTTGGTCAGAGAAGCTGTGGCTGCCCCTGGATCCCTGGAAGTGTCCAAGGCCAGGTTGGAGCAACCTGGTCTAGTGGAAGGTGTCCCTGCCCATGGCAGGGGGTGGAACTGGGTGATTTTAAGGTCCCTTCCAACCCAAACCATTCCGTGCATCTGTGATCAGCTGCATGAAATGGTCACTCCAGTGCAGTCACAATATTTGAGGACAAGAAGAACCTCAGGGGAGGGGCCTGGTGGCTCCACCAGTTGTCCCTCCATGGCCACTGTCCGTGGTCTTCGTCCCCTCTGTGTCCCCTCCAGAGCTGTGACCCCTCTGTTCAGGCACCTCTCAAAACAGTTCTTTTTGCTGAGTGTCAGAGGGATGCACCTTATTTGCATAGATTTGAATAATGTCAGCTTTATTGTGCCAGTAAGCCTTCAATAAAAAGGGAATCACTTCAATAATTCAACAGTGGCTTTATCAAAACACTCCAGGTGGAAGTCGCTGGCAGGGGCAGGTTTGAAGCATCTGATGAAAGGTGTCAAAAAGTTTGGAGATCTCCCTATTTTATATAGTTTTATAAGTTTGCCATTCAAAGCCACCTCTCAGATTGAATCCCAAGCATTTTGATCTCTGCTTTTTAACAAGTCCACTGAAAACCTTGTTGCAGGAGAACAGCTTGGATCTGCAAAAAGAGGGAACGGCTGGAGCTGTGCCAGGGCAGGGTCAGGTTGGATCTCAGCAAAAGGTTCTTCCTTCCTTCCCAGAGGATGGTTGGGCACTGCCCAGGCTCCCCAGGGCAGTGGGCACAGCCCCAAGGCTGCCAGAGCTCCAGGAGGGTTTGGACATGGTGGGATTGTTGGGGTGTCTGTGCAGGGTCAGGATTTGGACTGGATGATCCTTGTGGGTCCCTCCAGCTCAGGATATTCCGGGATTCTGTGACAAGAGCACTCAGGGCTGGGGAAAGAAAGGACACCTGAGCTCTTCTGAGGCCTCCCCACCAAAATTCCACTTGATGAAGCCACCCAGCCTCTCCTCAGCCCCTCTGTGCCCTGGTGGCACCTCCAGAGGTCCCATCCAAGCGCAGCAGGAGCAGGACCAACGCTGGGTGAGATCCACAATCCAGAGCACCCTGAAACCCCGCGGGATTCCCTCCCTGTGTGAGTGAGGACTGCAGGCCCCAGTCCCTGGGCTTCTCTGTCTCACAGAGGGCACAGCTTGCCCTTCACTCCCAGCTGACCTCCTCCTTGCATCCGATTCCTCATTCCCGTCACTCCTGCGTGAGTCATTCCCGTCATTCCAGCGGCTGCGCTTTGTCTCCCGGCCGGGCGAGCACAGCTCGGAGATGAGATGCACAATGAGTCACAGTTCAAAAAGCAGGTGCCTGAACTGTCAAAAATAAATGTACAGGATTTGATTCTTCAGGCTGGTTTTTGTTGTCATGCTTTGTTGTCTCTGGAAAAGCCTGGATTTGATGGAAAATAGGGCTGGTTTTCCCCCCCTCCCTTTTCAGTTTTAAGATCGAGATCAGCTGCAGCAAAACGATGCTGGGCTTAATTCCCTCCAGATTGGTTTGCAACTGTCTGACAGGTTTTGGGTGCATCATAATCCTTGCTGTGGTTGAGAGAAGTAAAATTCCTCATGCAAAAATATTAAGAGTTTTTTACTAACCCTCAGCTTTTTGGGGAATGTTCAGCCTGGAAAGGAAAAGGCTCTGGGGTGACCTAATTGTGGCTTTTCAGGACCTGAAGGAGCCGACAAGAAAGAGGGAGAGAGACTATTTACAAGGGATGGAGGGACAGGAAAAGGGGGAATGACTTCCCACTGGCAGAGGGCAGGGTTAGATGGGATATTGGGAAGGAATTGTTGGCTGTGAGGGTGGGGAGGCCCTGGCACAGGTTGTCCAGAGAAGCTGTGGCTGCCCCTGGATCCCTGGAAGTGTCCAAGGCCAGGTTGGACGGGGCTTGGAGCAACCTGGGCTAGTGGAGGAGGCAGTGCTTGTGTTCAGAGAAGGAATTCAAGGTGTTGCTCTGTCAGCTGAGCCAAAAGGAGTTCGAGATGTAGAGCTGGGAAAGGCCAGGGAGAGGGTTAAGGCACAGAGGAATGTCAGAGGGATGAATAAATTGAGGTGGGAAGGATTGGAGGTTAAAAGAAAGTTTCTGGTGGCAGAGCCTTGAGATCCAGGAGCAGGGAGCCTCTCGAAAGGTCTCCCAGAGGTGGGAGCACAGGCTGAAAGTGTTACTACTTTTAAAGCTGAGGGTTGGCCTTTTATGTGCCTGCATTAGTGAAGGGCTGGATTTGGTGACTGTGGGATGGATTTTCCAGCCTCCTGTTTCTGTGAGTTGGCTGGGGGATGAGGGGTGTGATGCTGAGCATCCTCAGGGGTTGGAAAGGACTTCAAAGGTCTTCTCATTCCAGTCTTCCACTTCGTTGCTCCAGCCTGACCTTGGACACTTCCAGGGATCCAGGAGCAGCCACAGCTTCTCTGCCCAACCTGGCACAGGGCCTCCCCACCCTCACAGGGAAGAATTTCTCCCCAATATCCCATCTAGCCCTGCCCTCTGGCAGTGGGAAGCCATTCCCCCTTGTCCTGTCCCTCCATCCCTTGTCCCCAGTCCCTCTCCAGCTCTCCTGGAGCCCCTTCAGGCCCTGCAAGGGGCTCTCAGCTCTCCCTGGAGCCTTCTCTTCTCCAGGGGAACCCCCCCAGCTCTCCCAGCCTGGCTCCAGAGCAGAGGGGCTCCAGCCCTGGCAGCAGCTCTGGGGCCATTAATCCATTAGGAGTCAAACCCAAATGCATTAAAAAGCACTAGAAAGGACAATCTCTTCACTTGCTCCTTCATCCTTCTCTTCCCCCATCACTTCCCTGCCTGGTCTTTGGTTCCCACCCTGCTCAGCACCAAGGGTGAGGTGAGAACCCCAAGCAGGACCCTCCAACCTCTGGAATTCAGCAGATCTCTTTTGTCAACAATGAGATCCTTGACTCTGCCCAGCAGAAAATCCACTTTGTGCTCGGTTCTTGCTCCCAAACACCCCTGGGCTGCATCCCTGCAGTTCCTTCTCCGAGCTCTCTCCATTCCCTCCGCTAATTTTGGGACGCAGCACCAGGATGTGCTTGAGGAGGGGGGGAAAAGCTTCATCCTGAGTTTGTTCCTTCGCTGGGGGCGGGGAGGTGAAGAAATCTGCTGTCACAGCCCAGGCAGAAACAGCAGCTCCCATCACCCAGCCCCGTGGAACACGTGTTTATCTGCCTTGCACAGAGCAGCAAAATCCCGCCGCAATCATTGCAGGGAACGGGAGATATGGAAACGGTTTTAAGTTTCATTTTGCTGGCTGTCGTCTCCCTTTGTCTTTTTTATTGAGCAGCAGTAATTTAACAGCGTTGTTTGACTCCTGTTCAGGCTCTTTCGGTGCCTTGTGCTGTATTGAGTTTCTGTTGAACGTTCAAGTGAAGTGCAGCGCTGCAGTTTGATGCCTCATGGAAAAAGCAATAATTATTTCATTAATACCAGGGTAGAACTTGTCCATACTAAACAAGAAAGCAGAAAGCACCGAGTGTGTCATGTAAAATAAATGTTTCTCAGCTTTGTTTTTGCTGTTGTGGAACAAAAGAACTCACTCTCTTGTACCTGCACTCATTGCGTGCTCTTGCAACCTCCTCTTTTTGGAGAAGGGGCCTCCTTTGGGTTGGAAGGGACCTTAAAATCATCCAGTTCCAACCCCTGCCATGGGCAGGGACACCTTCCACTAGCCCAGGTTGCTCCAACCTGACCTTGGACACTTCCAGGGATCCAGGGGCAGCCACAGCTTCTCTGGACAACCTGTGCCAGGGCCTCCCCACCCTCATAGCCAGGAATTCTCTCCCAATATCCCATCTAACCCTGGCAGTGGGAAGCCATTCCCCCTTGTCCTGTCCCTCCATCCCTTATCCAAAGTCCCTGTACAGCTCTGTTGGAGTTACCAATTCATGCTTTACCTGAAAACTTCATTTCATGACCATATTTGCAATATAAGTGTAAAATACTCTTGTTCTAAGTAAAGAGGCTCCAGTAAAGCATGTTAAAGAGTCCTCCATCTTAGGCCACTGGAACTGGATCCAGAGCCTGGATCATGGGATCCTCTGCTCTACTGAATCCTCTGCTTTTTGGTTTCAAAAAGGTCAGTACAATCCCATGGACTTCCTAAAGCGCTTCCAGCTCTCAGAGCAACCAGGAGGCTGAGAACACAGTCCAGAGGGGTCTAGAAGGCCACTGGAGAATGAGCATGACCCCTCCAGAAAGAACAGAACCTACAGACAAAATTGAGGGAACACAAAGCAAACAACTGAGAAAGAGAGAATGGTTTGGGGGAATCACATCACAGAGTCGTGGAATGGTTTGGGATGGAAGGGACCTTAATGACCACCCAGTTCCAACCCTCTACCATGGGCAGGGACACCTTCCACTAGCCCAGGTTGCTCAGGGTCCCATCCAACCTGGCCTTGGGCGATTCTTTTTGTTCTTGGGGGAATGTTCTTCGCTGTGTTCATGCACAGAGCGTTGGGGGGGTGAAACCTGGAGTTAAACTCTGGAAATCCAGAGAAGTCAAACCCAGTCCCCGTGGTTGGACGTGCCGATGCTGTGGATGCTCTGCCGGTGGGTTCGAAGGAAAAGCAAACCCAGCCCTGTTGTTTTAACATGAGCTGCTCCTGTGTGGTTGAATTCAGGGAGAAATACCAGCCCTGTGTGGTGCCTGGCTCTGTAACAGCCTGATTTTTATGAAGTGCCGGCGTTTCTTTGCGAGGTTTGATTGTTGCTGACACCGGTTTTAGCTTTGCTGGCTCTGTGCTGGAAACCTGCCAGGCACAGCGACGTGGTTCGTGCCCTGGAGCTTGCAGGAGCCGGGGAAGCCAAGGCTGGGGGAAGAGGGAGGGTGGAACAGGCTGTGTGACAGTTGTTTTGTCCCCTTTTCCCCCCCCTGCAGACGGTACCAAAGCCCATCGCGCTGGAGCCCTGCTTTGGGAACAAAGCGGCCGTTCTCTCCGTCTTCGTGAGGTTGCCTCGAGGACTTGGGGGAATTCCACCACCAGGACAGTCAGGTGAGGGTTATCCTTGTCTCTCATGGCTTGGTATTAACTCCATACTCCTTCCCCAGCCTTACAGATTCACCTTTCCTGATCCCACAGAGCTGCTGTTCCCACACCCCGGCTCGGGGTGTTTTAGGCTCCCTGGGTTGGGCCCTGGTGGCTTCTAAGCTGAGCTTTTTTTTGAGCAATTCCTTGGGTCAGGTGGTGGATGAACGTTTGATATTTGGATTATGCTTTAATTAATGCCTGGGGGAAAAGGGGCATCTGGTACAGGCAGCTTAGCAGTAATTCCTTACTAAAAGTAACTTGTCACCGGCCTGTTCCACGTCATTCCCAGCTCCATTTGTAGGGAGACATCAAGTCACAGAATCATGAGATGGTTTGGGTTGAAAGGGACCTTAAAGCTCGTCTCGTTTCACCCCCCCTGCCATGAGCAGGGGCACCTTCCACTAGACCAAGTTGCTCAAATCCCCTTCCCTGGAAGTGTCCAAGGCCAGGCTGGAAAAGGCTTGGAGTGACCTGGGTTAGTGGAAGGTGTCCCTGCCCGTGGCAGGGAGTGGAACTGGATGGTCTTTGAGGTCCCTTCCACCCCAGACCATTCCCTGATTCCCTGACCTGCCCTGAGGAAGGTGCAGAGATGATGGATCCCTGGGAAGTGCAGTGGAACCTCCGTGCCCACGTTCTTTCAGGTTTATTGTCGCCCATCTACTGATGCAGCAACACCTTCAATACCAAGGGTTCATCCTTCAATATTAAGAGTTTCACACCCATTAATCCCCACACTTCCTAGAGCTTTTCCTGCTCAACTTGCTCCCCATTTGACCTTATTCCAGAACCTCTTCAGCCCAAACGCTCTTCAGCTCTGCTCAGAAAATTCCATGTATTTTGTGGCCTGGAGGATTTTCCTCAGCCATGGCTGTGGGATTTGCTGCTGTGACTGTTTTGTTCCCTGACTCTTTGCTCTGCTGCCCCCCAGGTCTCGCCGTGGCCAGTGCTCTGGTGGACATTTCACAACAGATGCCAATTGCCTACAAAGAGAAATCGGGCGCCGTCCGAAATCGGAAACAGCAGCCCCCTGCACAGCCAGGAACCTGTATTTGATGCATGGACATCACAAACTCTCTAGGGTTTTAAACAAAATGGAAAAGGAATACCGAGGAGGAGGAGGAGGAGGAGGAGGAGGAGGAGGAAGATTTCCAAGTTGTGTCCCAAGAGACTCGAAGCACTCGGAAAAAAAAAAACAAAACAAAAACAAAACCACACCTTCCTTGATCCCGACTTTTTTCTCTCATCTCCGTGCTCTAGTTGGCTTTATTTGACAACTGCTCCACTTAAGTTTTACTGACAACGTGGCTTCAGGTTGCTCCTTTTTTTTTTTTGTTTTCCTTCGAGTTCTAAGTAAAATAATTTTATTGCAGGGGGTGGTGCCGCCGGTCCCTGCCGGGTGTAAATAGAACAGTAGTCCAATATGAATGACACTCAGGTTTCTACATGGAAAGTGCTTTGTAGTTCATGTATTTATCAAACTGTACAAAAGAGAAAAAAAAAAAAGATCCAGTGTTTACAGGTGTCAGCTCTCTCAACACATAAACACTACTATTAATCTTCAAAGCATCTCCTCATCCTTTGTTTTCATTTAGTGTTTAATTCCTCCCTTCATTACTCGTTTTCAGCGGAACTCTCTTCCAGGCACAGCCTTTTTTTGTTTGTTTGTTTGTTTGTTTTTTGGTTTTTTTAAGTCATCACGGTCCAGGAATCCAAAAGCTGGGATGGTTTGAAGGTTGATGTCGCTCAGAACTAACTGGAAAAAGTCGGATGTTGCTTTGGAAGGACTCGGTGTTTACATAGTCTTAACCTGCTTGGAGTCCACCACACACAAGTGCCTAGACTTGAACAGATCTAGGGAGTGAGGAGACTGCTCCACATGCTTTTGAACACCATTAAATCCCTTTGAAATATCTGTACGCTCACATCCAGGGTCGCCCGAGGCGATCCGTGTTCTCTATCCCAGGAAAATGGCATTTTCCTGGCTTGACCGACCGCTCACCCAGGTGGAAATACCTGGAGGGCAGGAGGAGTTTCAGCGTCTCACGAGCAAACTCCTGGTCCCACCAGCGTTTTTCCCAGCAGCAGTTTGTGTTCCAGGTCAGGTCCATCAGATTCCTCCTGATTTTGGCCTCTTTCCTCCTCTTCCTCCCCCTTCCCTTCTCCCGCCCCGGATGAGAGCTGAGTTTGGAGCCGTCGCTCCTCGGTGGTTACAGGGTTTGCTCCACCTCCTGCAGGGTGTAAAAACCAACACTCCACGTCCCAGAGCACTCAAGAATTAATTTAAAAAAAGAACTTTAAAGAAAAACCAAGCAGAGCAGCTTGGTTTGGCCACAGGTTTGAGGCCTGCTGGTGTTTCCCGCCAGGTTTGAGCTCTGGTGGATGTCAAAGAAGTGGCTGGTTGGGGAAAGAGTTTTGCAAACAGCAGAGAGAGAAGGTTTGGATTTTTTGGGGGGGACATCAAACCATCTGAACTGCTCTGGTGAGTCAGGGTCGTGTTTGGAGGCTCAAGGTTGGGCTTGATGAGTTGGGGTTGTGTTTGGAGGCTCAAGGTTGGGCTTAACCCTTCTGCCTGTGTGTGGTGGTGGTGCCCGGTGTTTCCTTGGGAAGTCTGGAATGTGGCCCAGCCAGGGCCTCAGGACGTGCTGATGTTTTGGAGCTGGTGGGAAGGTCTTAGTGAAGGTGCCAAACTGTGTAATTATGGCTCAGTCACAGTAATTTTGGGTCCAGTCACCGGATTGTGTGGAGAACATCTAATATTTATGAAACGCCCGGGAATTGCTCTTGGATCTTTTGGTCAGGTGGCACTTTCCAAACTGAAACCCAAATCACTGCATCTTTTTTTAATGCACATTTTGGTGATCAGTCACATCAACCACTCATTTTTTGGGCTGTTTTCCTTTTTTTTCCAGCCATGTATTTTGAGGAGGCTTTTCAGAGCGTGGCAGCATCACAGCAAAGATGTGAAGTTGCTGGCAGAGGTGATGGGAACAGCCTGGTTGGTGGTCTGGGGACCCTGGTGGGTGATAATTCCAAATTAATGTGTCATTTAACAAGTGCAGTGGGACTGCAAAAGGGTGTTGGGGCTGGAGAAAAACATTAGGGAAAAAAATTGCATTTTATATATAAATATATATGAATATATATAAATGCATCTGTTTCTAAACCAGAAGTTTAAATGCCCTCTGGGAAAAAGGAATTTTGGGAGGAAAAGGGGTGAGTTTTGTGTTTTAGGATGAAGGGATTTAGGTAGTTTCAAGTTTTACCTGATGCACAGATTACCTCAGGCAGATTCATCTCCTTCCTAACTTGCTCTGTGTTAAGGACTAACCTGAACTGGAGAAATAAGACTGGACTAAAATCCCTCCCCTGTTATTCCATGTTTTCAGCCACGATGCTCATCCTTATGTTTGGAAATGTCTTCTTCTTGCTCTTCCAACCCTTTTTTTTGGGAGGAAAACTGCCACCTCACGTGGAGAAAACCCTTGGGCTTGAGTCTCCCTAGTCAGGACAGAGCTTAAGGAGGGGCTTAAAGTTCTTGCTGAGATTATTCCTGAGCAGAAACAGCTCCCAGAACTGGAGGCCTGGAGGGGTGATAAGATTTTTTACATTCATAAAAGACATAAATATTGATTTTTTTGGGAGGAGTTTCCCACCCTTGGAGAGATGGATTGTCAGGTCTCCAAAGCCATGAAACGAGGTGTCAGATTTTGGGGAGAAAAGAGCAAAAATGATCAAAGTTTTGAGGTTTAGCAGAACAAAAAAAAAAAAGTCAGTAGAGGGACAAGAGTTAGTGATATAAATAACAGGGTTATTTATATAAATAAAAGCTCCTTCAGGATGTAGCTCTGCTCTGCATCTGATCTCCAAACCGATGAGGGACAAGAGAACTCATACAAGTTTCATCCCATCTTGAAGGTAAAACAGGGAAAAAAGTTGGAAGGAATGGGAATTTTTGGTGGTTTATCACCAGGCCAATATCACCAGTGAAGGATTTGTGGGAATATTTCCTTTGGAAGTGAAGTGAGGGGTGAAAAAGAACAACCTGATTTCCTGGGAGAATCTGTAAATAAATGACAAATAACACCCGGATTTTGCACTTGTACATAAAATCTCCAGCAACTTGCAGGACGTGGAGAGATTTAAAATGTGCATAAACCAGAAAAAAAACCCTATTGAATGTATTTTTGATGCTTTTTAAGTGCTGTCTGAGTTTTGTCTTAATAACTCCTTCGGCTGATCAGCGTTAGGTGACTTTCCAGAGCTCGAAACATCGGATTTTATTGGGGTGTCTTGCCAAGCAGGGAGGCATAACTTGATTTTCTGTGTTCAGATGCATTTCACTTCAGTTAAAAATCAAGGGAAAGAACAGCTTTTCCTTCGAAAAAGGGGGAAAACCCAACACTTGGGAGACAAGGAATAAATGTCCTTAAATTTAGTCACCATGTGGAGGATTAAGGCAGCAGTTTAAGCTTCTGTTATTAAGATTGTGGCAGTGATTTCCATCCAAAATCACTATTTTCCATCCAAAATCACTGTTTTCAGGTGTTCAGAACCGGCTGAAATTCAGCATTTGATGTCTCAACCCTCAGAACTTTTCAATTCTTTGAGAGGAGCCTTTAAAAAAAAAAAAAGAAATAATAAAAGCTCAGAAGTGTTTTAGCCCTTTTATTCTGCTGGGATCTCCAAATAACAAAAAACCACACTTGTTTTTCTTTTTTAATTCCCCGTTTTCCATGGTTTTTATCCCAGAATTTTCTCTGGGCTGTCACAGCCTGACCCTGCCACGCTCTGGGTGGATATTTTGGGTACAAGAAGGTTTGTGAGACACGACTTTGGAGTTGTTGTTGCTCTCCCTGGGCTCAAAAAGTGCTGGGTTGAAGTTGCCAAAATAAAGGTGTTTAACAGAAATCATGGCATGGAGCATCCCAAAATTCAGTGGGACAGTGCCATTAACACGTGGCAGCTCCTTTGGCTGCTTCCTTAGGGATAGTTTATGTCCCAAATATCGCTCAGAAACATCATTTCTCCGTGGTAAATGTTCCCTAGGTGCAGGGTCATCGGGATCATGGAATGGTTTTCAGTGGAAGCTCAGCTTGTCCCGCCCTAAATAAGCTGAATTTTGAGGCTGAAACCGAACTTTAGGCTTTTCCCACGACCTGCTGGAATTCCAGAGCCGCAGAGCCGAGGCTGGCTCTCCATCCAGGCGTTTTCCAGCTGCTTTGCCTTTCCCACAAGACCCTGAGTTAGGGCATCAGCTGCATCCCAGGAGCCTTTTCCCTGGAAACTGGCACTGAGCTGGTGAGGAAACAAAGAGGGAACTCTGCATTCCCGGAGTTACTCCCAACCTCATCCACCCACTCCCAGCCAGCAGTGGATGGATGCCTCTGCTTCTCCCATTTTATCCATTTGGGAATACCACAGGGAAGGGGAGGGCTGAGCCACAGGAGCAGGTGGGAGAGGGAATTGTGGGGAGTTTATTGGGAAGATCCTCAGGAGCGTTGGGGCTGCAGAAGGAAGGGGAAGGGTCTCTGTCTTATTTTTGGGTGAATTCTTGGCGATTTTTGGTCAAATTCCCGCTTTTCCCCTCGGGAGCTGCTGAAACGAGCCGGGTTTGCCACGCCAGGACTACGACAATATGTGTATATGCTGGTTTTTTGCTGCATCAGGGCAGGTTTTATTCAGTTTATTCCCTTTGTTCCGACACTACCCACGGACTGTTTGTGTGCGTCTTCCAGGTACTACAATTCCTTGGCCGTTCCCTCTCTCCGTTTGTCACTTGATTCCACAAACCTCATCAAGGAGAAAGAAGGAAAAAAAAAATAAATAAAAAATCACAATTGTGGAGGAGCGTTAACATACATCAGTCCATTTTTTTTACAAAAAATTAAAAAAAAAAAAGAGAAAATAAAAATAGAGTTTTATATTACTCTGAGATTTGTGCACAATAAATGTTCTTTCAGATCCTCGGATTAATTGCATTCTGGATTTTCTTTTTCTTTTTTTTTTCTTCCCCTCTTTGTCCTGTAATTATTTACGATTCTTCTCTGTGTTCAGACTCCGGGCTTAGTTTGTTAATATGTATAATTTAGCATTTCTTGCATTCATATGTAAATAGGAGCAAGTATTGTAAACTATTTCATTGCTGGGGTCGTGGGTGTTATACATACACACATTTAGGACTGCAGTTTTTTGGTATAATTTTTTTGTATTGTAAAATAACAGCTAATTTAAAAGCCGGAACGAGGAAAATCTTGGGAGGTCTGTGCATTTTAAATACAAATGTGAAGTACCTGTATATAAATAAAAGTAAATAATGCAAAATCTTTCCTCTGAAATAAAAAGTAGATGATCTGGTTAATTTTTTTTTGTTCCTTTTTTTAATTGGTTTTGTTTAAATGGAGGGGGGAGGGAATAAATAATTCCAGGTGTTTATTTAAAGGCTCCTGGGTGGGGTGAGGGTGAGTTTCTTCCGGGTTGGATCTCGAGGGGTTCCTGCCACATCCATGGAATTTGGGAGGAGGAAGGAGGGACATGTCTCCCATCACTTTAGATAATAAAAATAGTTCAATCTGTAGATTTTAAAGGTAGAGACAGTCATTGAACAGTTTCCATTTTAATATATATATTTATAATATTTATATATATGTATATATTTAGTAGCCCATCACCACGACATGAACCCAATTTTTCCACTAAACTTGATTTGAATCCCTGTGCCAGGGCCAACAATTCCCTCCCTCAGCTCATTTTGGAAAGCAGGATAAAACACAGCGCTGGGGGGTCTCATCCCTGCTCTGGTTTGTGTTGGAGCAAAGAAAAGAGGTAGGAAAGGAAAGGGAAAGGGATGGGAAGGAAAAAGGAAAAGGGAAGAAAAGGAGAAGAGAAAGGAGAGGAGAAGGAAAGGGAAAAGGGAAGGTTTGGGAAGGTTTGGGAAGGTTTGGGAAGGAAGGGAAAGGAAAGGAAAGGAAAGGAAAGGAAAGGAAAGGAAAGGAAAGG